CCCCAAAACCCCAAAACCCCAAAACCCCAAAACCCCTTTGTTCAAGTCGTTAATTGGATATAATAATTGCGATAATTATAATCTTTCTATAAAATTACATGATCTCTACAGCTTTCTGATTTTAAGTAGAACTTTGTTCCTATCTTTTAACGTAATTTCATTCCTCCTTTTCCCATAAAACGTCAGGTTCTCTCTGATAGGAAGGTAACGGGACTGGATTTTTAAATTTCCAGCTATCTCGCTTTTATTATAACTCCCGTTGGAAAGATAAGAGGAGTATGCTCATCTAGGACAGTAGTCCTGATGGTCTGATTCTATTTCTTTTGGTGAGAAATAATTATTCTCGCTGTTCATACTGCATATGCATCTTCTTTGATTATCGCTCTCATTTGACTGATCAAGTCAGGTGTTTGAGAAAGAATTTGATTCAAGAAAACGATTTCCTGTCTTGATGTTCGTATGGGATTTTATCCCATAAAACCTATCTCAAGTCTTTTGGATAGGCAATGGATCTCCTTGTGCATGGGCATTTGATGTGGTCATTCTTTTCTGATCGTATAACCTCAAGGAGTCCTTAGAAATAGAGTGAGCTCTATGGTCATACATCTCATTATATCTCTGTGATGGAGCTCCTTTCGATTTGACGAGTCTCGGATTCCTGGTGGATACCTGCTGGAATTTTCTACTATTAGGATTTTTCTGCTTGTAACTCTTAATAATAGTCTTAACTCTACTATAATCTATCTCGAATTTAAGCCCTCTGCGATTTTTATTTCTGTGGTGATAATTTTATAAATTGAAGACTCTGTTCTAAACAAAGAGTTAAGTAAGTTCTTATATAGAAGTGTGGCTTACTTCTCTCCAAAAAATTAATACGAGTGGTCACTTTAGAAGGCTTATCACAATATCTCACTTCTGAGGAATTAAAGTTAACCTTGGGTTCAAATTTTCTCTCAAGAGGAAACTTGCAATCAGTTTGTTTTCCTTCATCTGAAAGAATTGAGGTGAACCTTCTGAGATTATTCTTGATTCTTTTAGTCATGATCTTATTTACAACTCTCTTTATCGACAAGGACAGAAGGTTCTTTTTGGTTAATGATACTTTTCCTCTAGAAATTGTGTAGAAATTTACCACAAGTTTTGGATATAATCTAGTTTTATGCCGCTGAGGGGATACATTTACCTTAGAATTTCCTTTCTTTTTCTATATATTTACTTTAAAGCATACATCCTTCACAATTTCAAGATCAGAGTTGAATGTGTCTTTTGTTCTAAACAAATGTTGGTATCTGTCAAAATTTTGGAAGAAATAATCAAAATTACTTGTAAAAACTACTGTATTTAGTCTCAGAATGATTCTTAGCCATCATTTTCTCTTTTTTCCAAAATATAGTAATTTTTTGGGGTTTTGGGGTTTTGGGGTTTTGGGGTTTTGGGGTTTTGGGG